GTACTACTCTCTCTCTCTCTCTCTCTCTCTCTCTCTCTCTCTCTCTCTCTCTCTCTCTCTCTCTCTCTCTCTCAGTAGTAGTAGTAGAAAGACAAAGGCATTTTCTCCTATATTGCTAGTGTTTGAAGAGCTACTATTTAAAAAGAATAATTGTCTTTGGGGACACAAGCACAAATATATTCACCATGATCAATAATATTGATCTTCTTAAAGGACCTTCTCAAAACAATTTTGAATCTTAGGATGGTTTTCTGATTTCCACCCACATTAGATGTTGAAAAAGACTTGCTCAGGACTATAATGGGCTTTTATGGAAATGGAATTGATGAGTGAAAGTACAGTTACACAAAAAGTTCAAGTGGCAAAAATTTTAAGGAATTTTTTCAATTTATCAATATTTTTGGAGGGAAACCTTTGGAAGGTGGCCGTAAAGGAGACTTTTCTTTTTTGTAGCAACGTCCTTCAATCCAATTTAACCATCACAGCGCTAAATGAAAATTTTCCACCACAGAAACTATTGAAAAACATTATTCATGGTTTCTCTTATAGGTTCCAGAAAAAACAGAGACCTACAAGATGAGTTTTCTTAATAAGAGAGACCTTAGCACTCAGCAGAGCAGCATTTCAAGCTTTGCACTCCAATCTAGAGACATGTCAAAAGCCCAAAGTATATCATAATACACCTTACAACAGATGTAGCATTAACATTCGCATTTTTATAGGGACTTGACACCCAGCTTTGTATGAAAGTCAGACTTGCACATCCCTGCTTTTTATTCAAGCAAGAACACTCAATATCCACAAGGACAGCAAACTAACTAGCCTGAGAGAAAGGAAAAAAAACAAAAAAAAAGCATCCCAATCCAACCAAAGCTCATTACCATGATTCTGCATGACCAGGGATATCAATTTCTGCCATAACATTGATGCCTGCAAAATAAGAAACAAAGTAACCAGTAACATTATATGATGCAACAGTAGCTATTTTGTGTATCTTCACAATCATAAGGGAAAATTTGATGCATCTAGATCATAACAATTAGTTTATTGACGGTAAAAATTTTCTGCAAACTGCATATGTTGTCATTTTCTAAGACATGATTCGAACTTAAGGTTCTCAATACCTTAAGTTCATATGGAGAACCAAGTTCAGCAAGTAACATACTACTTAATTTCATGACTCCCTTTTAAGTAAAAGTGACTGTACAATTTCATGACTAAAATATAGAAATCCATTAACCCCAACTTTGCAGTTTCAATACTAGGATGTCACATGGTTTACCATGATCCAACTTGATAAAGTAAAAGATCTTTCGGGGTCATTTTTCAACTTACTTCCAGCCATATCGTTGAATACCTCCTTATTTAACTTAAACACAGACCGTCCTTAAAAGGGAGTCGCCGAACATTGAAATTCATAACTTCCATTCAGTTGTTGGTATGTTATGATTTCACAAGGACAGAAAAAGGTTCGGTTCCCAAATTTATTGACAATAACTCCGAAGTCCAAATAGAGCAACAATTTGAAAAACTTACTCAGAAAGCAGTTCCTCCTTAGACGGAGTATTCATTTTATACAACAGTAAGAAATTATAGATAGCTCACTCAGTACTAAAACTGATATATCATAACTGCAAATATGTAAGTTCCTTTAAAAAATATTTGGGAGATGGAACATACCTCTTGTCTTGGCAAACCTTCATAGCACGATCAAGAATTAATCAAAAGAAGGAGAAAACAAGGAATGGATCAGCATTTTGATAAATTAGCTTCAATAACTGTGTGTGTGTGTGTATAATATGAAATTTAATTGCCTGAAACTTTGTACAAGAGAAAATAAGCAGAATGCAAATAATAATTTCTTTAGAATCTATAGAATATGGATTCCTTGTCTCATTACATTGTAAAGACAAAAACAAAAGCAATAAAAATATGATCCAAGAGCACTACTCTTGATGGACCCTGACAAGCAAATGATAGCAAGAATGAAAACCATTAGTCCATCAAACTTGCTTCTAGGCCACTCTGAGCATAAATAAATCATTGACCATCTGGCTCAGGTAGAAGCCTCAGTGAGTATTGCGAGAGAAAAGGGGGTATAGAAAGCAGGGGATGGGGAAAAAAAAAGAAAAACTTGATGTCTTAGGATGTAGCAACCATGATAGCTCACATTCAAACCCTCAACCTAATATTCCGCACTAATATGGCTACAGCAGTCAAAGTTCCTAATGCACTGTAATTGAAAGTGCACAGATCTGTTAATCATAACACATCCCTATCTCAACCATATTTATCCTTCACTTAGATCATAGAGCATCCAACACTTCACTAAACTGTCAATGCCACTTGCATGGTAGGGCCTTGTTCACTATTGTCCAGCTGACCCACAACTTGGGCTCGCAAACTTTTTCCATTGGACAAACTGATACATATGATCCTCATTGCAGCCTTTTCACAAGATTTCCCATAAATGTAGCATACTATGTGTCATTGATGAAATTTCCACTCAGTTAATCCAGGTTTTTTCTTGAAACTAGTTAAATTCTAGACTTATGTATGCGTTGAATTATTAATGTGTTTCTTCTTTCTAACACTATATAATGCACTGAACTAGCATAATAAATATGAATTGCAAATAACATATGGTTTATAATACATTACAAATATATAAAACGACAGAGTATTTTATACATATGGTTTGTATTACATTACAAATACATAAAGGGACAGATCATTTCATCCGTAAAATTCCTAGAATTTTTATTTTCATTGTTGTAACAATTTTTACACATTGCATTCCCGTCTTCTTAAAGGTTACAATTTCACCAAGTCATATGCATGTCACGTGCGACAAATACACAATAATGCTAGATCTTAGTAAGGCCACAAAGCTACAGGCATTTGGAGTATATTACTAAGCAACATTCCTGCATGACCAAGTCATTGGTTTAATCCAATTAGCACCATTTATGTAAAAACCAAAATAGATGCTAAATAAGCAGTTTTATATTTTTCTGTTTACAAAGAAAACATCTTATGAGTATTGGTAACTTGAATAGGAAAGTACTGGACTACTTACTCAACAATTTCACTAGCATCTTCGACTGTATAGCGCTCCCACTTTGTGTATGAACCATCCCATAAATTAGGAAGGGAGGGAACTTCTAGAGGAAATGACTGCTCATCTATGATGTGCCAATGGAGAACATTCTAATGAATGTAGTAACCAACATCAATATGCATATGCATAATTCATAAAAAAAATTTAATCAATAAACTAGAAAGGAAATGTAAATATGACGAACTACATCAACTTTAACATAATCAAATTCTTACAAGTTTAGCATATGCCATGGAGTCAATGACTTGCTTGATTACATTTATTGGTTGGTAGTGACGTGAAGTATCTACAAACAAAAACAAAATATGGCTTAGTTTACGATTATCGTTGCAACAAAAGGAAAAACTCTAGCTCTAAATAAACCAAGGATGAGGTCAAGTAGAATAACAAAGAAATTTGACTCACCAAGGAGAAGCCCACGAAAAGCAAATCGAGGCTCATCTTGAATGAACCATGGTGCCTTTGATAATTCAACCCTTTTAGTTACGAAATTAAAATCACACAGTTGGCTGAATGTCTAGATAAAAAATTTACACCATAATCAGTAGGTCAGGATTTAATATCAACAGGAAGTACCAAAACTTCTTTCCCAGATGATTGCAGAGCATCAGGTAAAAGCTCCAGAATGAATACTAACTGAAAAAAGGAAAACGGCAAGAACCTCAGAGTTCCAATTTCACATAAGCATGAAGGTTTCTCACTTTGAGGACCCAATACCACGACTAAAGAGAATTAAAAGATGAACTAGAGAAGGAAAAGAACATGGGTAGGCATGACTTAACAAAAAGAACGGACTATAATCAAAGATGCAACCAGGTCACATTCTGCAATGTCATAATGTACGATACTATATGGCATTTTTAAACCATACCATCTTAGTAAAATATTTTGTCTGGAAATAGGCTAGATTCAAAAAGTAGAAGTACCACAAGAAGTCGACAAAAAACAACAGGAATACCAAATGCAATACACTGCATACCTCCATTCCATGCAAAGCTCCATAAATGGTATTTGCCTGAAAGAAAACAAAAAGGAGATCCGCTCTAATTAAAAGCATGTGAGATTTTCCAAATAATACAAATTCACTACACATAAGGATGACATACATAGAGATTCATTATAATGAAAAAGTTATAGGAACCATCTTTACTGATTCCCAAGGTTCAAAACATGAGGATTCGTCGAGGATAGATTGCTTATATATACATGCACATACATATAGCCATATCTGACTTGCATCGAACAAACTTAACTAGGGGCCTAATCTTCCTTCCTACCTCGATAGTTGCTTCTTGAATAATAGAGGAACCTTGTCCAGAGGTCACATATAAGGAATAGCTCTCATCCACTCCAAGTTGGAGCTGGAAACACAAATTCCAACAAAATAACAACAATTAATTCAAATTTCAAAGTTATCAACCAAATAAACATAGAAATAAATCAAGACCATAAACCTAAATCTTGGGATATAACCATGTGACAAAACTCTTAATAAAAATCATCATCATCATTCGACCCTTAATCCCGACTATCGAGGGGTCAACTACATGAATCATATTCTGCCATTCCGCTCTAACAAAGAATGCCCTAGCATGAGCCGAGATTCATGATAGGGACGTAGCAAAAGTTTTGTGCTGGCTGCCAACCTACCACAACCCTCCTCCTTTCTCAACCAGGCTTGGGAACTGCAATGGCGGAGTTAATGAAATTCTATACAAATAAAGATAGAAATAATTGCCTAATGTATATACCAATTTATGAAAACTAGCATACACAAACATTTATATTTTGCATATTAAATCCAATTTTTTCCAATAAATATATAGACTACGCACTCTAGATTCATATATATGGTTAGGGAAAAGTTTATATATAGGCTCTAAACAATCAAATTTGAGCCTACCTCAAAAATTTCACTAGAAGAGGGTTTTTTTATGCCCAAATATCTTCAAATCGATCATCTCGACATCAAGATGCATGGACATGAGTAGATTTCAAGTTTTGGAAATAGTGTATTTTGTAACACAGTTTTGGACAGTCAATTTCAAGATTTCAAGTTTTCATAGATCTGTCGATCTACACTATTTTTTAAGTTTTAAACATTATAAATAAATATGAAAATATGTTTTAAGGATATCACAAAGATTTCCAATATTGAAACCACATTTCTCAACACTATTTGAAGGTAGGCTCTAATTTGATTGTTTAGAGCCTAGGCTCTATACAAACCGCACCCATATAGTCATTTTTTATAGATTGCATTCTGCTTCAATACACACTTTTTTATGTCATAAATCATTACGATCTAGATTTTTGTATTCTAGCTTCATTCCTATTTATCTATTTATTTATTTACACAAAATAAATAAATTATTTAGATGCTCACATTTTGTATCATGAATCATTATATTCTGCATTTTCCTTTTTTTTTTTGAGAATGTTATTCTGCATTTTCCATATTCTACCTTCATTCCTATTCGTTTATTACATAGCAATAAATAAATTATTTCCAAACAAGCAATTCAAATATAGCTTTCTAATGAAATATATACTTACAACTCAGGTGAGTCAATTTCAAATAACTCGATCTAAAATAATTTACATGTATATTTGTATGTTTCTTTATTACTCAACTCGTACAAACAAATTCCCCATTGAATTAATAAAAATACAATTTAATGAGCACAACTAAAAAGAACTAAATCAACTAAAATAAATCCTCCAGTCAATGAACTACAAGAAAATACAATTTAGAGAAAAATGAAACTAAGAATTCAATAAACTCAATAGGGATCACTAAATGAGAAAAAACTCACATTTTCATCATCGGAATAAACAACAATCTTCAGCCTGTGTACATCATAATCGAAATTCTCTCTCACTTCTGAACTTGAATACTTCGCGTGATGCTTGAAAATTAGCTTTTTATACCTTTCGAATGCATCTCTGATCACACCTTTCCCTTCAACTTCAAGAACAAGATCAGGGCTAATGGAAACAGTCAGGTTTCCATGAGTGAATTGTTTTGGCAATGGCCAAATATAAGCCAAAGAATCATTGAGATCGGTTTTTGGCAAATTAGAACTTCCATAAAAGCCATGGACTCGCCCTTCAACTATGGCACATAGAGTTGCAGAGATAACACATAGGAGCTGATAAATGTGGCAGACCTCCATGTATTTGGTGATATTTTTTATGGACATACAGTGATTAAGAGAGAGAAAATGCATAAAATTTCACCATGGAAGCAGAGGAATTTGATGATGCAGAGCTATTTTTTGAAGAAATTAGAGTGTGTCAACGCTTCGATGGCATCGGGCAGATTATAGCAGAATATAAGGCAAGGTCTAGCACAAATTTAGAGAGAGAAAGTATTTTTCTATGTCTTAGGTGAAAGTTTAGCGTAAAGAGAGAGAGAGAGGGCTTTTCCTTCACTCGAAACTGCTGTTTCTCGCTCTCTGTCAGATGTTTTTGTTCGTCACTCTGGAAATGTTAGGCATGCGCCGGCACTCAGAGATGGGTAAGAGCAAGGGTATAACCACCAATCATAAATGACGATAAAGCCCCCGATTTAAGAATGAAAATACAAACCCGACCCGACCCGGGTATTGGTCCAGCTAGTTGGACTGCTGATCGGTGCTGGGAGAAAATTTGTGCTTGGTACCAAAAATATGGTTCACACCAAGACCTGTTTTTTACTGGGTAGTTTGACCAGCTAGCACTTCAACTCACAACAAAATACGCAATTTTTTTTAATATATTATATATTTTCAACTCTCATTTTAATTTGTCAAAAAAAAAAAATTATTTATATTTTTTTCAATATTTTTAAAATATAGTAAAATCAATTCATCTCAGCTGTACTTATCCTAAGTTTATTGTTTTTAGCTGCCCAACATTTGGCCTCGTAAAACAAAATTGATCTTTCACATATAGAACTTTCCGTTCAGCTTTATTGATACGTGACGATCACACTAAACTCCGTTATACAGCAGCCACTCAACCTAAAGTAATGTGTATTAATGTGTTCATATATGCATTTCACATATTAATTAAAAAATTATGGCGTGCATTTGATGTTACTTTATGAGTTTCATTTCATCGGATGAGTTTCTTCATTTACGTAAATTCAATTTGCTTTTCTTAGAAGCCCAGGGATATTGTACCTATTTAGCCCTACTTACTCAAGTGGCCCAAATAAAACGATAAAAATGGTTTTATTTAGTTCAGCTTACAACTCTAAACAAGAATTTCCAATGAAGAAAAGTGACATCCCTTTACTAGCCTGAACAAGGGTAAAATCATCACCTTGTTTTTGGCCCCTTGACTGAAGGGCAACGATCATAATGTTCTGGTTTGCGCAAGGATTTTCAATTAAAGTCAGAAATTTTAGAATTCTTAAACAAAAATAAGCGAGGTAGAGGCATCATTTATTACAAGTCAATTATAAGGGTATAAAAAATAAAGGGATCGTCTGAACATTTTACATGGAGCTTACAATCATTCTCACTCATTAGATATCAAATTACATCGTTTAAAGTGAGTTACAAAATCCGATAATTTTTTGTTTTTTAAAACTTTATCTATTCAATGACACTCTTATAGCCACCCATTTTGAAATTTAAATGATAAAAATAATTATAACCTCCATATATAAAAAATAAATGATATCTTTGTAGACAATCCCCGTTACTTGTTTTAATGAAAAAAAAAGACAATCGCCATCTTGACATGTGCTAAAAAATGTGAATATCCTTGTTTTAGGAACCAAACAAGTTATTTTAATATGAAAATATGTTCAAGATTTGGAGGCCACAAAAGAAATGTATTCACATCATTTGGTGCAATCCACTTAAATGAGATGAAATTACAAAAAGGCTCCTCATTTAGGCTTTGAGCATTTTTAAACATGTTTTAGAGGAGGGACATATGTAAAATTAAATTTATAAAACAACTATCCTAACATTAAATTAGGTGATTTGGCCACCGAAATCATTTTATATTAAGTAGTTTGATCATTTAAATAAGGCTGTGGTTTGTATAAGATGTCAACCTTAAATAATCAAATTAAGGAGCACTTATTTTGCTAAAAGATGTTTTCATGCTGAAATTCGGAAACCTTTATGGTGGCTTAAAATTATATTTTTACCTTTAATTATGAAATTTAAAGCTCCAAGCCTATACATTTATGCGAAGTCACCTATTTTATATAGCCAAAAGATTTTCTAATCTTGAATACCCCTTATTCAGTATCAGGCATTTGCATTTATGCCAAGTCTGCAAATTTTTGAAGAGAGAGTTAAGCTGATATCGTCTTAAAATATCATTATTAAAAAATTCCCCTTGCTTGTAAATTTATATTCAACTCATTGTTTTTTAAAAAAAAAATTCCAAAATGCTCCTATAATCCAAAATTCCTATGGAGATTTTGGAATCTGAAAATCCAAAAGTGTCTAGAAGAGGCTAACCTTGTATTGTATAAATAAGGTGCCAACCTTATTCTGTATAAGACAAGTTTCACCTCAAAGCACACAAGAAGTTGTTATAGCCCTATTATTGATCATCTCAACCTCATGATGTATGGATATAAAAATATCGGATTTCAAATCCCAAAAGTAGTGCATCTTATAGTAAATAATCTAAACCGTCCATTTTCAAAAAAATTAAGTATTCATAAATCAGTTTGATCTACACCATTTCTAGAGCTTTTATGTTTCATAATCAAGAACGAAAGTATATTTTTGGGCCATTTCAAACACAAAATTGTTGTCTTTAGCAAGATTTAGAGGTGCACCTTATCATTTAAGACCGATCTTATCAATTAATAGTTTTAAGGCATGGATAGTGTCCCCGGGATGCAGCAGTGTCAAAAAAGGAGCAGCGAGCAACACTAACTTTCTTAACCCAATCACAGCATAAGCAAAAATAAAGAGGAACCACCATACGCCGAACGTGTGTAGTCTCTGCCCAGTGTACACATGCATGTCCATTAACACTACAAAGCCACTATTGCTTGAAACCACCCTATTCACCAATAAAAGAAAGCCCACCACAGAGAAACACTTTTGCAGTTATCTCATGGACCAACGTATCCAAGCCAGAAGAAGAGGGGAAACTGAGCAAGTGCAGCAAGGAGCAACAGATAGTGATTCTTGCTCGAAGACTTATCATAGCTCCTCAACTCGGCAAACAAGATCCGCTTCATGGTCTTCACTAAGAAAATCCCCATGCACAAGCAAGTCCACGGCATCACGAAATAATACGAGTAGCTCCACAATGCCCTGGCCAAGACCGAGAGAGAAATGCCGATAAATGCATAGCCACCATAGGCCACAACGTCCAGTACTCCGGCTTCTCCACTCCCCAACAAATAAAGCAAGAACTTTAGCAGAGTGACCTGCAGAAGCCATGCGCCTAACCCCTTTGTGAACTGCATGCTCAAGGCTTCAGGGCTAAACCTGCATGACGATAATTGTATGGAATGAGCTTATTGAAAACTTCATTTTGAGCTTTTGAGTATTGACCTCCAGGCTTGGAGGTTACAGGCCATATGGTTCATGAAAAGGGAAATCTTGGAGAGTCAGTACCTTATCAAGGAGAAATAATAAGAGAGAGTTTCTTAATAGAAAATATAGAGAAGCACAATGAACTACTCTACATTTAGTTCTATAAAGTTTTTTTTATTAAACCTGAGAAAACAAATTGCACGTTGTTGCAACTTCCTTAAAAATTTTGGGTGAGAGGATACTCGGTGAATAAAATAAAGAAAGAGTACAGGATGTTAAATTTTCTTCAAGAAAATAGGTCAAATGGAAATAAAGAAATCACAAATGTTTGCATGATGGATCATAATTTTTACAAGTTATATGTTATCCACGAATATATAATTGATTGTTTACTTGTTAATTTATATTCATACAGCAAAATGTTCACTTCTTTATTGAATATGTAACAGTGGAATATCTCATGATGTTTAAGAAAATATCCCTTTTTAAAGAAATTGTGGTATTCATGCGAACTTTTCAAATAAATGGAGATACTTGTCAACTGTAGGGCCCAAAGGTTGCATCACTCATGTTTCGGTTACAAACCCACAATAACTATTGCCCAATCAATATGACATGAAACTTCAAGTCCAATCCAAATAACATTAGTAATTGCTATTTTCCTTACTTGCTATTCAAACCCAGCGCGAAGCCCACAAGAACGACATAGGTGCCGAATGCCATCAAAGGGATGTAAAGATCGGGTGCATTTATATCATAAATTGGAGGTTTGTAGGAGAGCTTGCCCCCCATTTGCTCAGCAATCCTAGTCCAATGTCCCTGGAAAATGAAGAGATAACAAAATTGTTAAGTCTTCAGGAAGAATAGCTAATATACACTAAGAATAAGACCAAAAACCACAACCATATACCCGGTGTAAGAAAGGAAACAATATCACTTTCAATTTATTCCTCACGTACTGATCATTCACTTGGAAGTAGTATTGGGAATTCGAGAAATACTTGGTGACCTGGTCTCAAGATCAAAGGCTGAGCATAAGAAATTAAACTACAGATCACTGCAAACCATGTAAAAGAACTATAAATGCATCGTATATGAAGTATGTGCATCCATGTGGAAGCAAAATTAATACACATTTGTAGTATGACTATGAAAGGAATTGATTGACCTCGGAAGTCAAAGTTTTCACAGGAAAAGACAAATGCAACTGTATTACTTACATTAGATTGAAGATATTCAGAGCTTGACCCCAGTATTCTTCCTCCATATGCAGCCAACCCATCTCTAATGAGTCCTGAGCCAGGCCCATAGAATGGGCCCCCCAAAGCATTAGGAGGGGCATTGGATGGCTGCCTCTGCATACCAGGTGGGGCACCGAGGTTATCGTACATCTCCGCAAGACTAGCACATAGAAATAACCACACGTGAAGAGCCCAATTAACGAGAACAGGAATACCAACCAAAATGCAGTATACAAGGCACCATCAACCAAGAACATTATCCAAATAAATAGATTCATCACCATATGCACTTCATTCTTACTACTGTCAAGGTTACTCAGTTTCCTTCAAAGCAAATAGTTAATTATCAGGGAAAAATCTAGTGATCTCCTAGCCAAATGCAACCAAAAGACACTATTTTGCAACCTCTAGATCTTTACTTTTTAGAAATGTCAAAAGTTCGTCATTAATTTTAAAGCAATCAATGTACAAATAGATATCCCATTCAAAACATGAGTCTATTTTGTATCCCCGCACCAAATGTTCGTCACTAAAGAATGTCACTGTCACAAAAGATTTTGCGATCCCTGCCCGAGCCAAAGCTTCTACGTCTCTGCGGCCTTCTCTCCTTGAATGCGTTATGGAATCGTAAGGTTACTCAGCCTATCCTAAATATTGTTAAAGATGTTAAGGCATTATCTTTTTGATATCTGGTAATCACATTACTTGAGACACCTTTGATGAGTATGGAAGTCAAGTTTGAGTTGAGATTCTTTAGACCAAAGAGAAGGCCCTTCTCCATGGTTTTTGGGTTTTTGGGGGGGGGGGGGGGGGGGGTTTGTGTTGGAGATCTCTCCCCTTTTTTCTCTCTACTAAGCACAAAATTCAACCCGCATCATCCACTCAAAATAAAGAAGATGGATGAAGGGAGGCAAAGAACATATTAGCCGTAGCCAAACACTTTACACATTGTGTATACACACAAACATATATGTATAAATATATATATGGAAAAGTCCTCCCAACGCCTATAGGCGAAAATGAACAGTGATTTCGCCTACCCTCATCACCGTTCAAAGTTCATCGCACGGTCACAATTGTCCGGTAGTGTTTTATTTTTCATTTTTTTTCTACAAATTGGAATGACCTGAAATTTGGAGCATGTGTTCATCAAAAATAGGTGAATCTAATAAAAATATAAAAAAATAATTTGTAAAATATAAATTGACCATAATACCCCAGAAAATTTACAGGGGTATTTTGGTCAATTTATATTTTGCAAATTATT